GAGGGTGCTTGACCATTTCAACACAACGTGGTGCGATCATCCCCCTTGCGCGGAGTGAGGGTTCTCGACCCCGCACAACATGATCTACTCGACCACCATTATGGTTACCGCCAAAACAAAAAACGGAGGTAAAAAAAAAAACGGTAACCTGGTTGCCGAGTTCACGAAGTGAATTGGCTTGTTTTACAACGTTGTTGCCAAGCGACGAAAACCCAATCCCGATCGCAAAACACCGGGGGGGTGGCGGCTTGTTTTACAATGTCGTTGCCAAGCGACGAAAACCTAACCCCGATGACAAACACCGGGGGGGGGCGGCGGCTTGTTTTACAACGTCGTTGCCAAGCGACCAAACAAGCCTGGGTTAAGTGCTGGAGGTTGATGCGCCGGCAAATGTAGGGCTTTCGAGTGTTATTGTTTTGGTATTGAATTGGAGGGTTTCCGAATGTTCCGTTTTGGTGCATTGGATTGGATTTTGGCCTTGGTACTGGATTGGTTTCTAGCATTCGGATTTGCGAACGTTGTTTCGGCATTGGATTTGATTTGGTTTTGGTGTTTTGTCGGGATTTATTTGCCGCAGGATTGTTTTTCTTGAGTTTCGAATGGATGAATTTCGAATGTTGTTCTTTTGGTCTGTGGTTCAGATTTCCGACCCCTTCAACAATCAGGGGGGCGGATCTCCCAGAGCAGGGGGGCACGTTGTTCTTTCGGAAGGAATTTACTATAGCTGGTGCTAGATTTCTAGAGAGAAGCAACAGGAACAAAACTCGCGTATGTTTTGCGCAAATGATCTTACCGCTGAACGAATGTTTGGGGATGGATGTTGTTTGATCGGAAATGTGAGAGTAGAGGATTCATGTCATGCTCAGCTTCGTTTTACCTGCTAAGCGGGCATCCGCGAAACATGAAACATATATATACAACCGCTTTTCCTTTTGAGAAAATTGTGTTGTCTTGGTCGGACTTGTAGACGGATGGATGGATGTAATCGAAGGACAACGAAGGCGAATTTCTGCGAATTGATCCGTGTTTTGGGAAGTAAATGAAGATGACTTTCACAGATAGGTTTGGTTCAATGGGTTGTTTAATGCTTTTGAGTTGTGCGGGGGACATAAGTACTTTGCGGGTGTCGTTGCGGCGAAGTGCTGAAAAAGGATGGACCAGAAGAAGAGCGTTTTGCAGAGAAGGAACGAAGGCGATGAGACAAGACGTTGTGGGTTGAGGAACATTTGCATGATCGAGTTCTTGGTTGTTTGTTCGTCATGGAGGAGTAGGATCCACGTTATGCGTCGAAAATGGTACTGTATTGACTTGCCGTATCATTGCGATGCATAGGAGCAGATGGGTTGATAGATATACTCTTGGAGCATAGTAAAGATGGTTGAATATGGGACATGGATCTACGGAGATTCGATGAATGGTCGGAATTGCGTCACGGATGGGTGTTGTGACTTTGTCTTCGGGTCCTCGGACACGAGTGTTCTCTGCTGTCCCCTCTCCCTTCTAATACAAGACTTTCTCATCTCGGCCCTCACTGGCCGAGCTGCCTTCTCCACAAACCTACAAGCTTCGGCCTACAATTGGCGCCCGCAGTTAAGAAACGCTTATTTCGGGTCCAGCCTCGAATTCTTATTTTGGGCTATAAACTCAGCGTATATCGTTCAGTTTCCTATTTCAAGTTTCTTATTTTTTCGTGCAGCCAAATCCTGCTGAATTTCTTAAATCGGCAATTGCTTACTATTTCTCTGCTTGCATACTACACAACGTTCCAAATATACAAATGATTTGCACTGCTTTCCTCGACCTCCGTACTCAACCCCGATTCTCACTACCGACGGCTGCACGTAAGGCCACTCCCTAGAAGCGAAATGTATCCAGCGGCAACGTCTCGCTATCGCTACAAGGTCCTGTACCCCCCTCATGAGTGAGGGCTGAAACTAAACAAATGCATCAACACCGCATGATGCCTCACCCGCACGCTGACGTGCCCAACAACGAAAACTACCCCGTCATTATGATGCAAGCTCCGTGAGGCGAACATTGGGGGTTGTCACCCTTTTGCGCCCCCCGCTCCCTTCCTATCTTTTTGAGACATTTCTTATTTTGTGACCCAGATTAAGCTATGTTAACCCTATTTTCTTATTTTTCGTGAAAAAGTGAGCCTCAATTTCTTAACAAAATATTTCTTAACTGCGGGCGCCAACTGTACCCGGTTTACCCAACACAGCCACAGCGCATCGGTTATCTCCCTGAATATCAAACATCACGGGCAAGCCGAGTGAGGCCAGCTTCCGGTCATTCATCTGCAATCAACTCACGTGGCTTCCGTCGCAGCAGCAGAGCTTGTGGCACCGAAGGTGACCTGGTGACTCCTCTCCTCTCCAGGTACTTTTGCTGTCCCTGTCCCTCTGTCTCTGCCAACATTAGGGGACAGTAAGCACCTGTCCCCTGAGTTGGCTGGAACGTTATGGTTCTCTCTGGAGGTTCTCAGGATGGTTCTCAGAAGGTGGAAAAACGGTTTCATGTTACTTTGTTCTCTGTCTTCTGTCCAGCACCGACAGACCCAGCGATACACCTCGGGCGGCTACCAGCAAGTACCTCACGCCTGATAACGATGGAAGCAGAGGATGGTGATGGCATGGAAGGAAATGGTGATGCATCGCCGAGGGGCGATGATGACGAGGTCCTGACCACCAGCTCGTCTGCTTCGTCTCAGCTGATAAGTGGCCCAACTGGCGGCGGCTCGGCGGCAGGAATGCAGGGTTGGGCAACGCGTGCCCCTGACGACCTCAGCCTTGACGGCGGTCCTTCCCGTGATGGCTCCTATTTTATCTTGGACGAGGGAGGCAGGCATGTGTTGGATGACCAAGGGAGTCCGGCTCGAGCCAGGAAATGGCAGCCTGTAAACGTCCAACAGCGACAACGATACAAGTGAGAGGGGAAAGCATGTGTGATGAACGATAGGCCCCTACGTTACGTCCTGTGTTGCACCAGTGGGGTGCCTAGTGTAGCTGTGGGGCTTTCACCTACCACCATTATTACATCTAGGGAGCATTTAGCGCGACACACATTCAAATGTTTGTACATAGCAGTCTAGAGTCGTTTGTGCAACTGAAGTTCCCGCGCCAGTACAAGCTGGGCCAGCCAAGAAACGTACAAAATGGTTGAGGCGACTTACGCCACGGTTTTTATGAATCAGAACCTGAAATTTTGACATGTGGTCGGCATTAGTATAGCGAAGACCTTGACCAGCCGCACCTTCATTTTTTGGTTTTCTCACGAGGTAGCCCTATTTAGTACGAATGGAAATCCTATTGTTGTATCTAGGGGGACTAAAATATAAAAAATATAAGGTGAGGCTGGTCAAGGTCTTCGTGATATTACAGCCGACCACACCTCAAAATTTCAGATTCCAACTCTAAAAACCGTCATGTAATTGCGATAACCTCACATTTCCTTGGCTATCTTGTGTGTTATAACTTATTCTTTACGAGGCCATAACTCTTGGTAGAAGATGATGAGCCTCGTAACAATCATTTTTCTCGCAATGCTCCCAGGTAGGTGCACACCAGGTTTCAGCTTTTTCGGTGTAACTTTTTTATGCTGATTTCAGTACCGAAAGTGTCCCCCCCTACGCCGCCAACTGATCGTTTAGTACCTTAATCAACTCAGATTCGAATTTTTTTGGCACCTGCGCTTCCCCTACTATCTCATGAGAGCAGCCACAAAGTTTCAAGCCCAATTCGTGGAAACGACAGGATGAGACTCGAACGAACGAAAGTGAGCTTTTCGTCTGGCCCAGCCTGTAATACAAAGCAGTCGACAGTCCTGACAGGCCGAACGAAAGCGGTATGTTATTTTTTCATGATTATTGAGGAAGCTCTGTTGCTTCCATTGTTTCATGTGGTAGACGATGCGCATTCTCCATCGCGTGCCCGCGAGGACACGATGCTGTCGTCATTTTGCACTGAGCTGAGTGCTGAGAACGAACGAAACATTCGCGTCACTTGCTTCCACTCCCCAGGCGGCAGCACCAAGCAACGAAAGGCCCTCAGGCAACCTGCAGGTGGCTTCCCTCTGTCCTGGTGACGCCGGACCACTTAAAGGTCCCTAGGTCTCAAACAGCAAAAGACTGCAACAGCATAAAAGGAGTACGCCTTGGCGGTGCGAACCCTGGGTTCACCCCCGTTGGTTTCGCGCAGCAACAACAATTCCCACCTGGTAGCATCATGACCAGAAGCCATGGCGATGACGACGACAACGAGAGCAGGCTCGGAGAGGAAAGACGGCGCGAGGTCGAAGTCACTAAGAAGCGCCGACGATTCCTCGTGGAGGAGCGAAGGCGGACGCGGCCCAAGCAGCTCGACGGCTTTATGCTGATGGACGCATGCGGGTGCGACCTCCCTGACGAGGGCCGCAGGGCCGACGTGAGCGGCAGAGGCCTCGTAAGCGTGGTCAGGGAGGACATGTCCTTCTTCGTCCGCTTGCAGGCCGTTGACGCTGGAGACAACAGCCTTCCCTTTGACAGCTTCCTGGACCTACCACGGCTGGAGGAGCTTCGCCTCCCCTGCAACAGCATCCGCGACATCGACGGACGGAAGATCCTTGCGCAGCTGCAGCTCGGCGGGGGCGACGGCAACAACGGCAACGGCTACGGCCAGCTGCGACGTCTAGACCTCTCTTACAATAGTTTGTCGGGTGGTGCCCTGTCGGTGCTGACGCACCTCCCGAGCTTGACCGACCTGGACCTCACATGCAACGGCCTCGTCGATCTTCCCGTGGCCATGGCTCGCTTTCCGGTTCTCCAGAAGCTATCGCTGGAACGTAATCAACTCGAGAGCGACGCAGTGTTTGATGTAAGCTGAGCGCGGCTGTGGCGACGAGCTCGTTGCGTAACTTGTTTTTCACGCGCTCCGTTTGTCGACGTGGGCACTAGGTGGTAAATCATCGACGTCTTCCGTGCCATGCCAACCAATGCCTAACCCTCGTCGCGTCCCGATCGTAGGTGCTTTCTAGGCTCCCAGGCTTGCGAGAGCTCAATCTCGCCTTCAACTACTTCACGGGCATCAACCTCGGCCCAGAGATAGCAGAACAAGCGTTCCCTCTTCTAGAGGCGCTCGATCTCGGGTTTAACTTTATCGGCAGCGAGAGCGACGTGGTCGTGGTGGTGCTTTTCGAACGGTTGCAGAGGCTGATTCTGTACGGGAACCCACTGGCGGGGCCCACGGGAGAAGACTCGCTTGGGCTCTGCGTCGAAAAGCTTGTTGCCGAGTCAGACAGGTATGTTCGGCCGTTCAGCTTTATGCCTGGGAAAAGTTATGGTTGAAGCCGCTGTTGTCGTCGACGCCGCCATTGGTTAGTTGGGCTGTTTGACGAAACACTCCTTCATTGCCGACCCTCCTCTCCGGCAACTGCCCGTCTGTGCGTCGCGTCTGCCGCGTTCGTGCGTTGCGTTACACAACGAAAGAATCCGGGGAGACTACGCGAGTTATCCTATAGAGGTCATCACAGAGCTTCCCAGAATAAGACAGACCCGAGGCGGGGCGGGAGGGGGTGGGGGTGCGGGGCGTCGGCGGCGCCCGTACGGCGACACGGGTGTCACGATGGTCGACGAGGGCTGCTTGCCGCCGGCAAGCACGTTCCGCGACGCCGGGAACAGGACACTCTTTAGGTTCGAACGGAAGCCAAGCGGCAGGAGCGGTGACGGCGACGGGGCCGACGACAACATTGTGGAGGCGACGCTGCGCTTGGCCAGGGAGAGCAAGAACCGGGCGGCCTTGGCCGGTAGCAGGTCCGCGGCAACGGTGGCGGCCATAGGGGTGCAGGATTGCACGTTCTTGACCAGCGTAGAGCGGCCACAAGAAGACAACCACGACGATGGACTTGCTGCCAATGGCGGTGCCACGGATGAAAGAGAAAATGCAGCTAGTGAGGACGTTGGCAGATTGCTAGGCCAAGAAGCAGGTGCCGGGAATGGAATGTCTACTCGCTTGTTGCGGGGACCGATCGATCCTATGGTCCGCAGGGACCCCGTCAAGCTGCGGATGGCGCTGACGGCCCTCCGGTACACGCTGAAGCACCCGGTCACGTCTTCGTTAGACGTTCAATGGCAGAAGCAGCAGCAGCAACAACAACAACAGCAGCAGCTCACGCGCGGCAAGGATTGCGGGGCGGGCCGAAAAACGGCCGCCGCTCGCGCGAGACAGCTACCGCGCCGTCCGTATCGGCTCCTCAAGTCATCGCACCAAGTGGGCTTCTGCGCTAGACTGTTGGACGAACCGACGAAAGGTGGTTGTGGAGGCAGCGGGGGTGACGGCGTATTGGGCAGGGTGGACGAGGTAAGCAGCGGTGTCGTTCTGCGACTGGGTGCATCAAGCTTCCACTAGGTTCCCTGCCTCAACGAGAACCATCATGCCTCATATTGCCAAGCGGCCGCTATATCTATCTACGCTCGCCTACAACTGAATGTTTCCATTGGTGTGTTCGCGTGCTACACGAAACCAGGTTGAACTCGCGAGCAATTCCTAGCTCAGTCGAGTAACCCCACGTACCAGAACCAGCATTCTCACGAAACGTACGCCCCCTCTGCCCCCCTCTATCGTTGACGTGTGACGTCAGGTGTTGACATCAATGGGCGCGGGTATGGACAGGATGGTGCTCGAGAAGCGAGCGAGGGAGAACAACAACGGTACCCAGGCGTCCAAGCCCGAACTGTCGGCGATCATCCGAACGGTTAATGAAGTGTTGGACGAGACGGAGTACTAACTTGTGTTTGGATTACTGCCTTTGCCGAGCGAGGGGAGGGAGGTCGTGGTCAACCAAGAAATACAGAAACATCCGGCGCGGCGGCAGCCACGGGAAGGTCACGGAGGCTCTGGCCTCTTGGTCCTGTAGTTTAGAACACTAGAAATGTTGGGCGAGGGCGAACGTGATCTATTCTAGTGGAAATGTTTCCAGGTAATCTTTTGGGGCATTTTTGGTAAGAACGATACATTTCTGCGGTGCTCCATGTTTTCCCAAAACGCACAACAAGTGCAAGTATCCTTCACTGTCTGCTGCTTCTTTAATTTCAATACAAACGCATCGAAGTTACAAGTGATCCCTCCGGAGTGGGCTCATGAGAGCACAGTGTCATCAAGGGGTGATGCAAGTTGAAATTAAAAGCAGGCAGCAGGACCAGGACCAACGCACAGCTGGCTGCTAGCTGCGGTGTGACGTTTTCCAAGCTCTATAGTAGATGACGTGTGTTTGACTCGAACAGCCCAGCGAACCTCAACCAACCAAAAACAATCATTTGTGCAGACCAGTTACAGTCTTACAGGAGTCTATAATTGTAGACGCGACTTAGTCAGAGAGGGGGAGGGGATGTATAACGTGCTGGGCAGTATCGAGCAACAGATAGATGTGCTCTCACGGTCAACGGTACCTTCGAAACTTCCCACCGGTCGACATTGCGCATAAAACGCACGCATGTTCGTGAGGGTGACTAACTCTAGAATACCCAAGCAGTCGACAAGGGAAAGGATTGCGGGACCTCTCTTGCGAGCTACTCTGAAAGCATGATTCGCAGAGAGACTCTTGTCTGTGTATGACCCGGCCGTCACGCCTAGCCAGTTCTCCGAAACATGCATAGACCCAGGCGTTCAGAATGGCGGCCACGACAACACATTTATGTACCCAATGGGACGTATTGATATGAAACGAATTAACCGCGCCACTCCAAATTGACATAGGCGGCTGTGGCACATGGTGCACGCATGTCTACTCTAGAGACCGTGCACACACTTTGAACGAATACTGCGCGAGGGTTAGTAAGAACAAAGTCGGTCCAATCCTACAGTTGAGACAAGACAATGCATACGGTTGGAACTATCCAAATGCCACATCCTCTACCATCGCTGTCGACCTACACGAGATTTCACTACGTAACATAATCTACATCTGACAGGAGCCGGGGACGACCATGGCATGTTTCTTCGTTCAACAATGCTTGGAATTGTTAAAGCCCACCCGTTTGAGCTCTCCGCTGCTGCACACTGCGATGACAAAAGCGCCTCCTAGTCATTCTGGATGGTACGCTGCAGCGGCGGCGGAAGCAGCTTCCCTTTTGTAGACTATCACGCTCTCGACGTCCGCCAAGTACGATACGAAGGACGGCGAATCGATCCCTGTTGCCAGGGAAAAACGAGGGCTCTGAAGGTGATGCTGGTGGCATTCGTTTTCGATGCCGCCGCCGGTCGTCGATGATGCCCGGGTTGACAGCGGCGGCGACGACAGGCGTGACGGTGGCGAAGGTGGGGGGGCCAGGAGATGGTCCAAGCGGGATGAAGAAACCGGAGCAGATACCATCGACGGCCCATTCTCGTGCCCGACGCCCTCGCCATTCTCGTCCGAGGACTGAAACTGATCCCGCACAGCAGCGATGTCCTGGTAGATGGGGCATTTTCAGCAGCAGGAGAGAGGGGTGTATCGCGCTAAGGATGAAGGCAAAGGGTGGTTGGATTTCGATTGCCTTCCCATGCAACCCACACAAATCATACGGCAATTCTTGGTGGCATGTACTTCTTGGCGCATATCGCGCCGCCCGCGTGACCAGCCGAAGGCGACACCTCTGTGCCAGGCAGCCGGCAGAGCGCTCGCACTACACACGGAGGCAATAAAACTCTCATGTTCTTTCACCTGAACAAACGCAATCGCTGCTTCGGCCATCTCTAGTTGCCGCGCTAGAATCCGCTTGACCGTGATTCGGTAGATTAATGCTGTTACCAGCTCCGGTGAGGAGTCCGGTGATGTTCGTGCTTCCCGGTAGGCGTTCTGAGGTCGAAGAAGACACAGGACAGATATGCAACGGAACTTGTTCTTGCTTCTGGTAGGTTCGGTGAATCCGGTCTCGTGGTGCCCCGATTCGAGTGTCGGGCGCGAACTAGGATTGGGCACCCCTGTGTTGTGGCGTCGTTGAGATTCGTACGAGCATCAGCAGGGCACAAATTTACAAACAAATCTTCAGTTCTTGAGCTGCTTCTTTGTCATCATGATTGACCCGGGATATCCTCGGTGTTGAAAACAGGTCTGTGCCCGTAGTATCCCCTCCGTGGTTCAAACATGAACATGCCGCGAGGTTGAGACTGGTGGGACGGGAAAAGAATGAAAATCAGAGTTCGACGTGGTGTACTTGCCTCATCGTACTCCAGGGTGGTTGGGTAGTTGTCCCTGGCTTGGGCGAGGTACTTGACGGCCTCGGTGAGCGCCGCGACCTCGTTCTGCGCCGTTAGCGCCCTGCACGGGAAACGACAGCCTGAGGCGTCGAGATTTTCGTCGGGGCTGTCTACACCTCCTCGTTTCCCTCCTGCTCCTCCCGCGCCGCTGGGGTCATCGCCGTCTTGTTGCCCTTCCTCCTCTGCCCCGGCCCCGGCTCCTCGATCCCCTCGATCCCCGTTTCCTTCTTCGTGTTCGTCTCGCAGAGGAAGGGTGCACTTAGACGCGTGTACAGATAGACCTTCACGAAGAGTATCGTCATCGCCAATGTTGTGGTTGTTGTTGATGGTATCCTCACGAGCCTTCCCGCATGATGGCAATGAGGAGGAGGGAGGGGCTGCAGTAGTCCCTCTGGTCGACGTGCGGTCGCCGCTGCCACCACTGCCGCTGCCGCCCTCGGCTTTGCCTCTTGTTGCCTGTTTTGAAGAGCGCAGGGCGCACCGACACAGGTCCTGGTATGGTGGTACCGCCGCGGCGGTGGGCTCAACAGTGCCGGCGATACCTCGCTGTCGCATCGCGTCGGAAGGGGTGCTTTGTGATGCCATTGTTGCCTGTTGCCCTCCCCGTGCCTCGAGGTTGTCCAGCTCGGGTGCGGTGAGGCACGCACAGCGACAAAATCGTAGCAACTCTTCTGGCCAGACGTCACGATGCACCCGCAGCATTCTGCAATGGGAGAGGCGAAAGATGGTGGCAGGGGGGAAGGGAGGAGGATGATACACAGTTCGGCCGACGGCCTAGAAGTGATATTAATACCGAGTGTGCGATGCATGCGGAAAGGGTAGAAACATTATGGTCATGAAGCGACGTATGTTACCCTCAGTGCTATCCATATTGACGTGCAGAGGTATACAACCGAGATGAAGTGTTGGCAGGCGGTGAAAATTGCAGCAGCAGCAGCAGCAGCAGCAGCAGCAGCAGCAGCAGCAGCAGCGGCAGCAGGCACTGGGCCTGGCCGTGTGCGGCGCCGCTCGCTCATGTCGCCCACCCAAGCAAAGTCTGTTGTCCTAGGAAGCGAGACTGTTGCGTTGTGAGCGCCAACCAACGCGTTTACGAGCACTTGGCCAAGACAAATTCTGTGTGAGGCCGAAACAGCTGACACTTCAGAGATATCTAGCGCGCGCACAGCACGTACCGAACGGTGTGTTGCCCGCTCGCGAGCAAGCACGCTTTCCTTCTCCGGTCGAGCGGCGATTGGCCGTGGGACGGAGGGAGAAAGCAAGTCACCTCAGCTGTATCCCACTCGTTGTCGAGCATAGCGAAGCCGTAGTCGAGAAGAAGATTGTCGTTGGCCCTCCGACCGTAACTGTTGAGAACCTCGGAGTTCCTCGGGTAGCGGTTGTTGCCGGAAGGGAAGAGCCGAAAGGTTCCATTCCGTTCGACGTCGAAGTCATACCTTTTTGCAGGATTGTCAGGTTTACATGGGAAGAGGTTACCCTTCTAGCCGTAGACAACCAATAGCGTTGTGCAGCACAGCTCCCCGCACTGCAAAGGGTAAGGGTGAGCAGCCTGTTTTCGAGATACTTCCAAGTATTAGTCAATACTCTACGTAAACGAAAGCAAAGTCCCCACACACGTGTGCTACGTACCCCCGACTGGGATGGACGGCGTGGGGGGGGGGGGTATCGTTGATCGAGGCAATGGGGTCGACGACAGTGTTTCTCGACTGTATGTTGCGGTATGAGATACATGCTTCGGTTACGGTACGGAAACACTTGTTTGCTTACTTGGTCTGGACGTTGCCATGGTTAAGGCAATCCGCGAACGGCACAAGAGCCGAGCTCTTCAGTCGCTTTCCAAAGGCTCTTGCCTGTATGGTTGTCCACGCAAAATCGAACAACTCGAACGTGTACCGGTCAGCCTGTTGACAGCGTTGACGGTTCCGGGGGGGGGAGGGCACCGACGGAAGTATAGGGGACATGAAATCCATGGCTAGTTAAGCGAATGGGGTGGTCTCGTTGCTTGTGATATGAGGGGCGAGAAGCAATGACGTTAGTGAGTCCGACATTATCGACTATTCCATGCTTGTGCCTGACGTGCGTGTGGCATACACATGGTGCGCATGGATAGATGCACCATACTCTCAAGCGCAACAAACGCGACTCTGGATGCCAAAAGTCGAACCTCCGACTCACTGTGTACAGATCCGGGTAGCTGCTCGATAGAAACTCGATCGTCTCACGGTACAGAGCCAGGAGCTGCCGACCCCTGGCGGCCGTCCTTCGAACTAGCTTGTGGTCCTGCAGGAGGAGCAGGCTTTCTCTGTTCCAGTTCCGGAGGTTGCAAGGGGTGGGTAGCATGCGAAGATAGGGCCAATAGAACGACCGCTCCTCCTTCAAGATTTCCTGCATGATGTAGAGGGCGAGCCCGTTGTCGCTGCCCAGGAGGCGGGTGTTGAGACGATGGACATGGCCATATTTCGGGTCGGCCTTGGCGTGGAACTCGGACATCATGAGGGCATGTGGGATGATGACCATGTGATCCTGTTTTAGTTGCATTCAATGAAACGTAGGGAAAAAGGCCGGGGCATCAGGTTGCATCGTTTGCCGTACATGACCATGTCGACGGCGAAAACGGACAGCGTCGATACGGAGTTGAGATAAAGTCTTTGCTTGGGATCTGGTGAGTTGCGGCGCAAGTGCACTTGTTGGCAAAGCAAAGGGTCTTACGTGACCTCCAAGCGGCAACACCCCAATCTACGCCTGCAAGTTGGAGCAGCGGTAGAGGCAAAAGTATCGGGTCCGTGGCCGATGATGATGTGTACGGCTGAAGGATAGACTGTACATGTAGCACTGCTGTGCATACAGCACGCAGAATAACACGTAAAATTACATTCTCTCACCCCTGGAGCGATGTCTCTCCTCGCCACTGCTCCGCGAACCCCACTCTCAGTCTCCGACGACGGCCACTCCACGCAGTCGATCACAGCTCCATGGCTCCGGAGCCATCGCAAAAACTCCTGTTCTTCGCTGACTGCCCCTCGTGCTGGCGAATCAGATCCTTCCTCGGTGGGGGTATCCATTCAATTGACAAGTGGGTGTCAATCCTTCTACCAGACTATATGCATTCGTGCCCGTGGAATACTGGAAGCGATCAATCAATCTGTGGCTCTCGTGCTGTTGCCGCTGCGAAGCGGTAGACAGATCTATCTGAGCCCTGATGAAACACGCGTTTAAAACAATTCGCAGGAGGGGTTTTACTTGGGAAACGTGGGCTTTTTTCCGAGCGAACGTTTCAGGCGGCGCAATTTTCAGGCGGCGCAATTGTTTTTGTTGCTCGTCCTCTCGAGCTTGTGAGCGACAGCAACAAGCAACCCAAGAAGACAGCACCGACGTGGAACTTTCCGAGTTCTCTTCCAAACCAATATAAAGCAGCACAGGATCAGCTTGCCACCACCAACGAGTCGGTTGCACACATGCAAGCCATGTCGGTGAGGCATGCAGTCCCAGCGGTCTCTCTCGCTCGATCGCACATTCGGTTGTATTATCTGCATGATGAACAAATGGATGATGGATGGATACTTGCTGCCGTTCGTTCGTCCAGGGAAAATCCTTTCTCGCACGTCCCACGGAAGTTTGAGTGCTTGCTCATGTGGTATGGGTAGCTTCACACATGTTTGTAAAGTGGGAGACGCATGTGGCAGAGATCTCCGTCCAGCGTGAAGGTGGGGGGGGGCGGACTGAAGATACAGTAGCCCAACCAAGTATTCTGTGTTGGTGTATCAATCGACAGTCTAACGATTTTTCGCATGCATGCGTGCGCTACATACGCCTGCCATTTCTGTATGGGTGTGCACATTTCGCAGTCTGCGCGCCGAGAGAAATTGCGACTCCTGCAGGAGCGTGAGGCTGAAAAGGCTCGTATGAGTCGGTTGAAGACGATGCTGCAGCAGAAGCTGGTCCAAAAGTATGGGAACAAGAGGTGAGGAGCATGTCTCGGTACGAAGTAAACGTTAACTGCAGAGTGGTTCAAACACGTTTTGGACAACTGTTGTTGCTCAAGGGAAATAAAGTGGTAGAAACATAGGTAGGTCATGATTGTATTACTATAGTTGTATGGACGATTTTGTCCTGGATTCTTATCTAGTCTACGGAAATGGATGAGGTTGTTTTGTTCGGGTAAGCAAAGTAGGAGGGGCACATAGGATTTCGGGCAAGATCCTCGCGGGACACGGCAAGCATAAGTTTGACACTTGTACGTCGTCACCTCTTGATGCGGTGTAAAGTGCTACCAACGAAAGAGGATTCTCGGACATTTCCATTTCAACTAGTACATTATTAATGTAGCTCAATCATTCACAGAGCGTGCTGGACTGTATTACGACACGAGTCCGCGGTTTGTATTGGCGGATGGGTACGGTAGTACGGAAGTTGTTCAATTCTTGACAACCGCACGTATGATATATAGCGTTTGCATACTTCATGTATCATGGCGCAAGCAACACCACACAAAACCAACAGAATTTGCCGAGATATGGCGATCAGTTTGCGCCAAATTCACACAGTGTAGTTCTATGTGGACGATTTATGTGATGGGGATTTCGTGCGCCCATGAGGTTGTGTTCAGGGTGTACTATGTATGTGGATGGAAAAACAGTAAAGGCTTTCATCTATCTGAATCGCAAGATGCCACATATATCAAGATGTTTGTTGTTGCCCTCTTTCTTCCCCCCGCTCCCGAACAACTGACGTTCGGGGGGGGAACGGATGCAACAGGAATGTCAACTCAAAGCTGAACCTGGAAATCGAGGAAGAGGTGAGCGCATTCACGGCACGCACCAGCCGACAGCCTACAGACGATGAGTTTCTAGAACTGGAGAACGCGGTCAGAGAGCTTCGTGCTAAATATGTCAAGAGAGGCGGCAGCGGCAGCGGCGGTGCGACGGGCAGCAGAGGTAGCCGCAGCAGCACTAGCGCGCGTGGCAGCGCGGCATCTGGGGGCGCCGGATGCACCAGGGGTAGCTCAGGGATGGTGAGTGAATTAGTTACCACCGCGCCACCAGTCGGAGTCAAAATTAGGGAAAAGCATCTCCCACGCGTTCAGTGCGAATATCTATCGTTGATTCTTTTTGGTGCTTGAGCGTGCAGTAGTTGATCCGATCAGCATACCGATGGCGTAGGTCGTGATCGTCACTGACTCCCCCCCCCTGCTGGGGAACAACAATGCTGAACGCACGTTGCCAGGGTCTGTTTGCCGTTTCTCTATGATACTGTACCTAGAAAATAGGTTCTAAGCTTGGGCGACGATGGGTTTGTCAAAACTTTCAGATATTTGTTGAGGGTATCTCTGAACAGAACATTTGAAATATTGACGCAAAATCCCGGTGTTACCTCACACGAGCATGCAAGGGGGAGCTCGTAAGGTTTGCCACCGAGGGGTTCGGCTATTGGCGTCCGCCGGGTGTACCGTGCAAGCTTTTCAGACTTGTCCACCTCATGCCCTCGTGGGTGAGGAAAACTCTCACCATCGCCGCTCAGGGCTGTCGTGCTAAATGTCGTGCTAAAGGCATGACGGTGCACCATCGACGGCCCCGTGCGATTCCTCCCATGCCCGTTCGATCAAATGGCTTAAGCCTAATAACAAATGGCAAACCATCACCCCCCGCTCACGCGCCCCCGCCCCCCCCCGCGTCACTGAATTGTCTTAAGCAGGACAACGGTAACAGCGCGGGTGGCAGCGCTGGTAGCGGTGATGATGTTGGCGACGGTTTGTTGCCGCCATCTATCGCCCGAGCTTGGCGTACGTTCGATGTGGCTGAGCAAATCGAGTACGAGACGAAGGAGCAGCAGAAGGCGGAGAAGGCCAAGCAGCAAAAGATTATGTGAGTGATTGTCCTTTTAAGCATGACCATCGAAGCGGCCAACTACTCGACCGAGTAAAGCGTTCATGCGCAAAAGAAGGCACAGTAATATCGGACACACTTAAGCTCATCAAGAATCAGATGCCAAAGGCCACGTGTTTGCTATGTAGGAATATATCTAGACTTTTTCCAAAAGTGTCCAAAATCTTGTGCAAAGTCCATTCATGGAAGTGCTGCAGCAGCACAACCAGGAGGCACATGTCTCCTCGCCACTTGATCGGGTGTGTACTCGAACGATGCAGCCGTGACCCCTGATACTGTTTTAAAAAGCGCGATGTGTGAAGGGGGGGGAGGGGGAGGGGCGGTGGCATCACACGAACCACAGCACCAGCCAGGTGTCAAGCATTTTCTCTTGTTCCATTCTTCTCCTTGCGCTATCGTTTGCCCCCCATTTCGGCCTTGAGCCCCGATGGCACCACTGCCTGTTGTGCTGCTGTTGTCGTGCCTGCCGCCGCGCCCCGTGGCTTTTGATCTCTCTCTCTCTCTCTCTCTCTCTCTCTCTCTCTCTCTCTCTGTTCAGGTTTCGAGAGGAGCTGGAAGTGCACAGGGCAAAGCAGGCAGAGAAGAAGGCCGCGGAAGAAGAAGAGAGACGGTGAGGAGGCGGAGAGAGAGGAAGTAGTTGGCAGAGACGGCAGGAGGAAGGTCCCGAGCCGCTACAGTAGTTTCGTACTGTGGTCAGTACAACAAACAAGGAGCTGGACGAAGTTCCAACCTCGTACGAAGGGCTACAGATGCCACTAGCAGAACCAAATATGTTGACCGCCTACCCCCAATACCACCCGTCCCTCGCTCGTTCTCTCCCCCGTGTCCTCTCTCCCCCCCGAAAACGCGAAACGACGCTAACAACGAAAAACACACACCTGATGAAACCACCACACACAACAACGAAGGAGGTACATGGAGGAGCAAGAGAAGAAGCTCGCGGAGTTTCACATGGAGCAGGAAGCGATAAAGAAACGGGCGTCCGACAAGCACGCTGAGGAAAAGGCTCTCCGCGAGCAACAGGTCAAGCGCCTACAGGTAAACGCGGACGCTTCTGTGATGGAAAGGGAGTTTGTCTTGTGTGGCGCCGCTTGCTGCTATCGTTGTTGTTGGAAGTGTCGTCGTCTTTACATCAAACCCGCTTGGGCCTCTAGTTGTGCTAGGTGCTTCTGTACCTCATTCTGATACGTGTATCCCGTCTCGTGACTGGAACAGGACCGGAGTAGATAGGTCAGAGATCAGATGGTGGTGACATCTATGAGAGGAACCAAGGAAAGAACGTCGGCGTCTACTCCTTCATTTCAAACCACCCCGCTATTGCTGCTGCTGCTCTCACGGATACGACTACGTTAACTCCGGTGGCGCTGGCGCTAGGTAGTACTGGTTAGCCTTGCACTATTAGTCCGTTCGTGTGGTTTCATAGATCACCCGGAAATATCTCGTTCACTTGCTTGCTTGCTGCTTGCTTCCTTCAGGCAGAGAAGGAGATCGAGCGGCAAGCCCGATTGGACGAAGAGATGCTCGAAATTGAGCGGTGCAAGGCGAAGCTGCAGGACGAGGTGTGTGAACCGATGCGGGAGCGGGCACGTGCGGGGTGGGAGTGGAAGGATGGAACGTCGCCGTTTTTGTTGTCGCCGCCGTCTTTAGTAATTTTCGACCGTGCACCTGAGTCAAGCGAATCATTTTTTTCTGTTCCTCGCGATAGAGAGACACCTCCAACATTTGGGCATGCGTGCAATGGGTGATTGGGGGGTCGTTTCGGGGGGCGGTAAGTGGGAGCAGGGTCGGTATGTCACCGTATGTTAGTTGTCCTGAAATAATCAACCGGCAAGAACAAGAAGAGGAAGGTGTGCGCGTGTAGAAAGTGTGGGGAACCTTCGTCTTTTCTCGGCCCCACTCCTCCCAGAGACTCTAGAGAGGGAATATCTACGCCATGCATACGTGCTCGCATGCGGTACCCGGTACCTGTACAACAAGACGGGCTGGCTTGAGTTTTATGATGAGCAGAAAGAAAGTAAAACCGTTATGATCGCGCGACCTCCTCCATACACCCAATGCCTTCCCCGCCATCCCTGACAACAATAACATTTAAAACTACAACTACGGCAATACGTGAGAGAGCACACAAGGATGTGACGAGCAGTAGTGCATAGGGGCATCCTGGAGAGTTGAATGTTCAA